GTGTGGACTTCAACTCCCAGAATTCCCCAGCCAGCATGCCAGCTGGGGAATTCTGGGAGTTGAAGTCCACACATCATAAAGTTGCCAAGGTTGAGAAACACTGCTCTAAAGCTATATTTGCCCAGAGAGGAGCTCCCAGCCCTATTGACTGGGAGGGGGTGTACATGATTGGCTGTATTAACTTGAAAGCAAAGGAGGTGATGTGAGCAAAAGGAGAATGTGAACTTTGGACAACCATTTCTTGGTAAATTTCCCTTTGGACTGGGTCATCTCTACTGACCCTGCTTCTGCTCTCTCTTTGGGAGGAAGAGGATAAATTCAGGACCAAGACAGACATTATGTTCTATGCCTCTGTGCATTTAAGATGTATTGTTTTGAATGGAAATACCAGTCTGCAGATTTGTATTTGTTTGGGATATCATTGGTGAGGCTGCATTGTCAAGGAGGAGGATTTAATCTTTTCCCACTCTCCAGCCATCCTGATGAAAATCTGCTGCTTTAGGCTGCTGTTTGCACTGAGAACAAATCCCCATTAGTGCTCTTTGTGATGTGTGACAAATTTCCATCACATGTGACAAGTACATGTAGAATCAGGCTATGACTCTTTGTTCTTCAGAACAGAACTCAGGTGACCTGGGCCACTGATTGAAGGGATTTTGCTGCAGCACTCAGGCATTTGCCCTTTCTTTTAGCTCACACTTCTTTCTCAATCCCCACCCCCATCTGAAGGTACCATCTGAAGCAGAAAGTACTGTAAGCAGCAATCACTTCCTCTTGCTGCATAACAGCATCAGCCATAAAATTGTGCCTCTCTTTCACTGCACAGTTGATACGGGTTTCCACGGATGCTCATAGCAACAGCACCTATGGATCCAATCCAGCTAAAGCCCATTGTATCTACAATTCATGAAATCAACAAGACTTGAATTTGCCAAGGCCAACTTGAGCAACTGCTTCAATGGGGATGTGCCAGAATGTAGTCAATGACTGACAATCACTGATCAATATTATGCCAGAATCAGTGGAAGCATGATTTGGACCACAAATTGCTAGAGGATCAATTTAGATACATGGGGAGGACTGTTTATAGGAAGTAGGGTGCTGGACCAGACAGCCCTTGGTCTGACTTGCAGGGTTCTGTGAACGTATTGAGGGTATATGTGTTTATCACATTTGGTTTTGCAATTCTGAATCTCCTGGAACAAAACAGTGGAGGAAAATATTCCTAGGCATATACCCCCCATCTGAAAAGGATCTAGAGCATGTCTGGCTACACTTGATCAATGGGTGAATGGAGATAAGTTCCATTCCAGAAGTTCCACTGAGAGGTCTGCTGTTACTTCATCTAGCCATTGCAGAGAGAGAGAGAGAGAGAGATGGGCCTGTTCAACTGGCTACCCCTAAAAATGGTCACTGTAAGACCATCATACAGAACCTGGTTTGTTTTCTCTGTTATTTCCCCAATTACGTTATATGTACTTTATGTCTTTAAAATTCTAAATCTGCAGGAAGAAACTCCCTTGTGCTTAATTTGTATACAGATGCAAACATCAAGCATTTTATAAATTGGCAGGGCAATCTGATGCCCAAGTTAGAATGCTCCAGTGTCGAAGGACCCTCAGTGTCCTCAACAATCTTGCAGATCAGCAGGACAAAAATGCAGGAAAAGCCTTGGGTTTTTTGGCCAACTAGAAGTTATTTTATTTATTTATTTATATTTATTTATCATATTTCTATGCCCTCCCCATCGCACAAAACGTGACTCTGGGTGTTGTACAAACCAACCATAAAAAACAATTTAAAAAAACATTCAACAAGTACAAAAATTAATATTAAAAGGCTGAGAGAGAGCATCAGATACGAACAAGGGAGCCACCTCATCAGATCACCATTCCCTTGTGACCCCCAGGCCTGTTGACACAACCAGGTTTTGAGGAACTTCTGGAAGGTTGGCAGAGATGAGGCCAAGCACACCTTGGGCTGGGGGGCTGATATTCCACAGTGCAGGTGCCTTGGCAGAAAAGGACTGTCTCCTGGGTCCCACCAGATGTAATTCCTTAGGAGATGGAACCTGCAACCTACTTCTTCTGCCAGACCTGATGGAATGAGCAGATGTAATCGGGAAGATATGGTCCCTCAAATAATGATGTTATGGGGGGGGGCAGATTCTTCAAATCCATGGCTTCTTCTGCTCTCCCTCCCTTTCAAGGTCAGGATTTTTTCCACCTTGGAAAAGACAATCTGGCCTGAGAAAAAGTGGGAGCAGGGATCCTTTGTCTGGTGGGGAACTAATCAATTCTATGGCCCTTATGTCAGTGGCACCACTGTGAAGAGAAAAAAAAAGTCTCTATTGGAAATGACACAATGTAAAAATATGCAGAGAGAAGTCCAGAACGAGCCTGTTCTTCCTATGTTTGCTCTATCTGACAAAAAATACAGACATGGAGATTTTTCAGAGTTCACAGGACAGGGAGTCTAATAACTATGTACATATGCCTGTGCGTGCGCAGATCTGCAAAATGGATGTGATTGCGTGGCTTCAGTTGAAGGAAGGTACAATTTGTATAGAGTTTTTGTGAAAGAAAAAAAAGGCATGATAAGGAAAAGCTGAGTCTCTTGCCAAACACATGACAAGAAAGAACATAAAAAAGCTGTCTGCCAGATTTTTGTCTGTGGAGCCCATTGCTGACAGCAGCTCTTTTCGGTCTTCTTATCATTCTGTAAAGTGAAGAAACCGGGACATGATGCAAACAAAAGGAAATTTTTTGCACACAACCACAGTCCTGCAAGTGAGTCACTCCCCTGAACCTGTAAATGGTATTCTGCTCTGAAATAACCACAGTGCCTGTACAGTGAGTTTGCATCTTCAGGGGGTGTTATATATCCCTTAGTGACAAACGGGCTGATCTGGGAGGGTCCAGTACGTTTTGTCCCATGTTTTTACTCAATGTCTTTAAGTAAATTAGTCTTCGTCTTTCATTTGCAATATAGAAAAGATACTGACGTCGTTATAAGGTATTTTAAACAATCCAAAGCACTACGTAACTACATTATAACTACAGCAGGACTGCTTAGTTGGGCAGTCATGCAACATTTCGTGTTTCAATATACGCTCGCAGCTACAGTGTGAACAAGCGTCTTACTTACACCTTGTGTGGATATTGACTACTGAGCATTTCTTCAGATTGTAACAGAAGATGGAAACGGTTTGTTGTGAATAGGTTTGAGTAAGAGAATAAAGCGCAAGTGTTTTTGAGCCAGAGAGTTAAAAGTATATAATCAAAAGAGAGAACGCTGTAGTAGGTTTGGGTATAATACACGACTTCATGTTCAGTAGCCTTGCAGTTCAAGTGTGCATATATTTTTTCATAAAAACTCTTCTCCTTTTAATATTCTTTTAAACTGCCCGATACGGTTCAGCATTGTGTTTGTATTATTTTCCCATACTTAGTGTAAATCCATTTGCCTGGTTTTACAATTTTTGTTCCTGGCACACAAGGAATTCCTGGCTCGTCTGTAAATTAAATAAATAAAAACTCATCCATCCATGCCACCTTTATGTCCATTTCTAATGACAGTATAGACAATTTCTGCAGAGATTAGAGACCGGAAAACAGATCCTGTTTTCCAATCTCTAATCTCAGCAGAAATGGTCTATACTGTAAGTGACCATACATCAGGATACCATTTCCTGGGTTGTCACCTTTTCATCTAACTCGCATCCTTTCCATGTTGGTCTTGAAAGAGTGGTTTTCTAAAACAGTCTTACACTGTAGTAGCTGCTGTTCCCTTTCTCTTGTAGCCTGCCTACTTCAAGCGGAGCTGGTGAATTATGAGCGGGTCAAAGAATATTGCCTGAAAGTACTGAAGAAAGAAGGAGAAAACTTCAAGGCACTCTACCGGTCAGGAGTAGCATTCTATCACCTTGGAGACTACAACAAGGCCCTTTACTATTTGAAAGAAGCAAGGTCTCGACAGCCAACAGGTACTGGCAAGAGATCATCTGCTGTTACCCTCTTCTCATGTGCATTGGTTTCCTCCTCCTTTCTAAAAATGTATTTTGTTCAGAACAAACTCCCCCGTCTTCACTCCAGTAGATTTTTCTGCTCTTCTTCTCACATTTGTCATCCATTGAACTATATATGAAAAGTGCAATTACTCAGAACTGCAATCCTGTGTTTCTCTGCAAGTTATCTATGGTTGCTACTGGTAGAGTCAGGGAAACATGCAACATCATGATGATCTTGGCACAGAAAAAGAAGGAACAGCAGTTTGAGCCATCATTCATAGGTCCCATCCTGCTCCTTGAAGTACTTTGAATCTGAGAAACAAAAATCTAGACCTAAGTAATTGCACTTTGGGAGTCACTCATTTTTTAAAGCAAGGCTCATTAGCCTGTACCCCACACCTTAATTTCAAAAGCCTTCTGCAAGTTATCAGTTCAAATCTATGCAAAGCGTTATCTTTCTCCTAGCAATCCATTGGGTAGACAGGAAGAAGGAAGGAGAAATAAGACCAATAGTAAAAGAGAGAATAAGGACAAGTGGAAGGGGAGAAAGAGACAGAGGGAGAGAGAAATTGACCTCACCTGCTACCACAATGTGGCCCCTGAAAGATTATCATTGGGGAATGTAGTTCAGAACAGAGAAAAGATCTTCCGCCCATTCTTTAAAGCCCTCAGAAGATCTTTTCAGTCTGGTTACTTGAGAACTGTAAAAGCGAAAATGGTGCATAGAAATATTATATGTGAGTCTATACGTATGTACGCATATGTATGTCCACATTTTGAAAAATGCTCCAGTCACTAAATTTCCATCAAAGTGAGAGTTATTCATTACTTCAGAAGAAGGAACTTTAGGTGATCCTCTGGAGAAAGGAGGATTCCAAAGCTTGGGAAGTGGGTGCCAAGACTGCTCTCCTGCTTGTCCTTACTATTGAAGTGGGAAGGTCTTTCCTTGAAGTCAGTCTGAACTGACCACTGAAATTCTGGTGGGTTGTTGTGGGTCGGTGGTTTTTGTATTCAGAAATGAAACCTGTCTGATGTCTGTTTTGAAGAAGAAAGGAAAGATGTGGAGCAGTGGTAATCAAACTGTTTTTCTCTTTCCTGTTCCTCCCACTTGGGTCAATGGGTTGTTGTGTGTGCTGTGGGGGAGAGATGGAATTCTATTCATTTGTCAAATGGGAGTCAAGGGCATGGCACAGAAATACAAGAGGCTAGCTCTTAAGTTCAAAAACTAGAGGAATAAAGACAGATTTGAATAGATTTTATACTTCATCTCATTCCAGCTTCTGGTGCTAAGGATTGTGCAGGATGTCTTTGCTGTACCTAAAACCTTATTGGTAGTGATGTGCATTTGGAGAATGCCAATCATTTCTTGGGGAGAAGACCTGAATGTCAGATTTCATTCAGATTTCTCCCACTTCTTAGCAAGTTGTCATGGCTGTCAAAATGGCATCAACAAAGACTTAGCTAATGAGTTGGGAATGATTTGCTCATAAGGCTCCATGGACTGGGATTAATATAAAGTTGGTTGAAGGTCAAGGTCCTCTCCAGCAAGATATGTACGGTACAAACAAACCACTCTTTGTCACCCATAGGGCAAGCTGGACATTTGCCTTGCACTCTCCTCTTCATATCCCATGAGACACTCTGCTTCCATCTGTCATGTTTGGCATGATGCTGCCTGGAGCACTTTTCATTCGGCTCAGACAGCTGCATACCCTGTATTTGCTCTGCAGATATGTTTATATACCCTTTCAGTCAGCCTGCTTAGATTAGAGGCTGTCATATCTACTCTGCATCTCACTTAACTACAGGAAATGTCTGACTTCATCCAAATGAAAACTAATTAGAAGGGAGTACTAAATTATTTTCATCCCCCCCCCCCCAAGCTCCAAGGAAAGTTCAGGTACTCACCAGTATTACCAGCCATTGCATATTTTGCCACCATTTTTTACTTTTACACATTTCAGTGCTTGACTTCATCTGAGTTTAGGGACTGGAGTAAGTATCTCTTAAATGATAGAGAAGGGGTAGATACACAAGCAGATGAGAGAGGAGGAGATCATTCTAAGCCTCTTGATCCCTTACCTGTTTTTTAGATACATATCAGAAGTGAAGGTGGTTGCTAAATATTTTTCAGGAAAAATTCAGGAGTAATTTAATGATTGGACTTGATATCCCATGTATGCATATAAGTCATTGCTTGCTGCGCATACTCTACTCTCTGCTACCACATGCAGAGCTGAAGGAAGCAGGGTAGCACCCATCAGAACAAACTGGCAGTGGCAGGACACCGTGATCAGATGGCAGCTGGGGCTGTTACTATATTTTTACAGGGTTATCTCATTATGCAGTATAACCCAGGCTCCCCCTAGTGTACTTACCAGAACAAGAGCAAATGAGAAAACGTCTGCACTCAGCTCTACTCCATGACCAGGATGGCAGTCCTGATGCAGAAGGGAACCCCTTACCTTGGTGGCACAATACAGTGGGAGTTTGCCTTAGAGATTCCATAGGACCCAAATCTGATGAAAATCACCTTGTAGGCCGTCCAGAGGAAGAGGGTTAGACCCAAAGGTTCCTAAAGGTAATTAGAGTTTGAGACTCCTCAATAAAGCTCACACCTCCTATCACCAAATCCATTCATTCCCACAGAACTCCAAAGTCCTCAGTTGAATTCAAAACCAACCTTCTCAGGAGTTCACTGCACTGGCAGCTAGCTGTCACTGCTGTTCCTGACTCAGCTGTAAGTTTTTACAACCTGATACCTGCTCTAAATAAGGCCCTGGCCGGGCCCTGGGGGTGTTTTCCTCTCAGAGGGGCATATGGCTTTGTCAGAGTAAGTGTCAGCCCTTCGAGGTTACCAGATCAGGAAACAGATTTCAAAGATGACTAGAACTATATTTTACTGAAATAGATTATACTAACATAATCTTCCAGACCTGACTGTGTTTTCCCTTCCCTCCCTCTTATACCCCAGGGAGTCAGGGAGGAGTTAATCTGGGTTTCTTCTTCATGCTTTTCTCGGGCTTAGTGCATGCTTTTGCACATATTTTTGTTGTAACCATCTCTCAATAGTTTCTCCAAGATCATCTCCAAAACTCCCTACAGTAAGACATCTGCCAAGTTCTATTGATCTTTCCTCTGTCTTGCTCTCACTCAGGTGAATTGTTGAAATCCATCTTTGACAAGCTCATCTGCAACATGTAACCTACCCATTAATGTAGGCTGCTGCTTCCAAAGTGGCATTTATGAGTTTTATTTGCTTGTTTATTTAACCAATTTCTATGTTTTGAGGACAGAGTGGCATAATCAAGTAAAACTATTATATTTGGAAGCTGATACAAAACTGAACCTCAAAGTATTACATAAATTATTTGCGATAGCTGCCACCACCCTCCTTTGTCCACACCCATGCCTGTGAAATAATGGCATTTTTCTTGGGTGGGGGGAGACCACATGCTTGGGGTACATAAGAATTTGATGGATATAATAAGAGTCCATTAGTACAAACCAGTGAAAGCTTGCTTCACTGAGCAAGCAGGAATGTATTTCACAGAAGAATCCTCTGTTCTAAAAGCCTGCTGCTGGTGAAGCATATCTTTTAAAGCTCTTTATTTCTCTGCCAAGAGCTTACAATGCTGAAAACTAACCTGCCTGAACTGCATTCTACCTTTGCCCCCTAACCTCAATCAGAAAAGAAGTAGAGAGGAATCTGAGATAATTGGGCCATTCTTTTATTAGAAGAGGCAGTTTGTAGTAGGGCAGGAGACTGTTCAGAAGGGATAGGCCAGACATGTATGATGTGATTAAGGAAAATGTTGCCTCAACCGTTCTGTGAGGATCCCTCTGTTCAGGCAAGTTCGGCTTTGCTATTATAAAATGCCAATCGTTTTTGCTCCCTTCAGCAAAGGAAACAAGAATTGGCTTGAGCCTCATCCTTAGGTCTGTTGGGGTGGTTCTTCTTTTTCATAATTGGCGTACATGGGACTTTCCAGAGGACAAGCAGGCAAGTCTCAGTTCCACCCGGCTTACAAGGTAATCCTGGGAAAACAGCACAGGAAAAGGAATCTACGGAAGGGTAAATAGGGAAGCACCATAGGTGGCTTCACTTGCAGATACCGAGGCTTGCTTAGATGCAGCTCCAACAAGGCATGAGAAATAGATGGGCTGAAGGCTTCACAAAAAACAAGGCTTGAGGAAAGATTTGAAGGCAGCAGGGAAATAGTATCATGGGAATCCTGGAAGGCAATTCAAAGCACTTAGGGGGAAAAAGAGAAAGAGTGTAGCATTTTGATAATGAAGCGATATATGGTTCATTTTTTAATTTCCCAAATACCATATCATTCTTCACTGGCATCCTCTTTTAAGTAAGAAAGATGCAAGAGGCTTCCATGAGGCCATGGAAAATACTTAGGCTTCCTGATAAGCACTGCCAGGATGTCAGATTGGGAGATTCGTTGGTATTCTTAATCTTCACTGATGCATGAAATGATTGAAGAAGTCCAGTGCCCTGTCTGCTCTCCCCAAACTTTCTGAGATGTGATGATTTAGAGAAAGTGGACCAGAAGTTGCTATTGGAGAAAGCTGGTTTTGGACTGTACAAATAATAGGAGCAATATGAAGATTGCTGAGAAACATGTCTATCATATAAAGTGACCACTATGTTCTCCCCATAAGAAACTGCTTGATCCTAAGTTGCTTGATAGTCTATGCTGACTGGCAGAAGCCCTTCGTGATTTTAGATAGAGTTTTGAGAGGGCAGGGTGCACCTGCACATAAGGCATAATTTGTCAGCTACTGCCCATTTTTAAATGAAGTATCCATATCATATGGAGAATCCCCTCATTTCTACCAGCTTAGACTGAGGAAATATAATAGTGTTATGAATATTCCTTAGTTGAGAGGTCAAATCCATATGACAGCATATGGCCATATATTGCCATCCCTGTGTGCAGCATCTCTTGGAAATATTTCTTGGTAGTTTGCATGTTTCACAAATGAGAGGAGTCTGCATTGGGAAAAACATTCTCAGCAGTCTTTCCACTTAGTTGCTATTTTTCTCTTTGTGGCTATGGTTTTATTTTTCTGCTTTCGTGATGCAAAGAAGCCACTCCAGCCAAATAAGAACACAGAGAGTCTAGATTAAAGGTCAGGATGCTACCTAGGCCATGTAGGTATGGTGCCCATGAGCACTAATGTGCCCCCAGACATCTGTCTGAGTCACCTGACTTTTTAAAAATAGTTTTTAATTAAAAGGTAAACAGGAAGCAATTATTCTACAAAGCAAAGCCCCAGCTTGTGTCCCAGAAAGGTCCAAGTGGGATGACAGAGAGCTGCTTGGATGACTAGTCTATTACATGGCACTTCTGTGACTGACCATGCCTCCTATGGCAACTATTTTATGAACAGGCTGATTTCCCATGGTAACAATTTTATGAAGGCACCCATCATATGCTCTCAAGTTGTCTAGTGTGCCCCTGGCACTAACAGATGACCCATCCCTGATCCATATAACCAGATGTTACAGCGAACAAATGGATCTCACTCTGAGATCAAGGAGAAACAACATCTAAGCAAATATTCCTCCCACCCACCCACCCCAAAAAGTTTTGAGAAATAGGGAAGACTTTAGGCTAGACTGACTTTTAGTCTCACAGTATATGGTCACAAGGAGGACAGTAATAGAGTGGTGATTATAACCCACCCATCTCTCACAAGCAACAAAAAAGATGTCCGTCCTCCCTCCCTCCTGCCTTTCCTCCCTCCTGAGGATAGCAGTATAGCTTGAAATTATCCTGGTTGCTGCCATTAGTTAGATTTGCTGTTGCCATGCAACATACTTACAATATATTTTTTGGCTTCTCAGTGCACATCCCTGGATCATCAAAGACTCTTGAGCTGTCATACATCCACAAAGACATTTCATAGTTTTTTTTAAAAAAAACAAATGAAAACATCACATACGATGCTAAGGAATGGAAAAGAAATAAAAGCCATCATTTGTTTAATAGTGCTTTGATTTAATGAGCCACATGGATAGGTTCACACTTCATGGGAAGCCAAGATTGAACAGTATAGCTTAGAACAATGTCTGAATCCAACCACTCTCAAAATTCTGGTGTTTATAATCATGCTAAGCCAGAGAACATTTTAACTATAGTTGGTTAAATTGACCCCAATGGCTGACGACATCATGTTAAGCCAAAGCCAAACCCAAACAAGCCATGGATGGCTTAGCACAATGACTGAATCCATCTACTGGGTGGTAGTTGTAGCACTATGCTTCCAGTTGGATGTTTAAGAAAATCATGTTAACGTGTAAAGAGATAAGAACAAGAACACTTGGCTTATGAGATTTCCATTAGTGCAATTGTTTAGAAAAAAGGGCTTGGGTAAGGACTTGCAGAAATTGTTTCCATGAAGACCTGCTTGCCTAGAGTTTTGGTGTAGTAATCAAGCCCAAGAATCTGCAGTAAAAATTGACTGAGGTTTTTTTGCTAAGAAACATTATGACATATCCTTGATTAAATCTTATTCTGTCTCCGGATCTTGAAAAGAAAATACATTTGAGAAATTATTCACATGCATGAATTTACGCCATAGGTCATTGGCTCCATTTCCTACTGTGCTGAGAACAAAGCATGATCTCTACTTGGCATTTTATCTATGGACCTTTAGCCCCCCCTCCCCCGCCCATCCAGCCCGTCACACACCTCTTCTCCCACCATTTTAGAAATTCAGTATGTGTGATTTCTAAGCCTGTCTAGGTAATTATCACTCAATGTTCACTGGGCATACATTCAAGGTTTCAAATCTGTGCCAAGAGGGGGAGATTCAAGTGACAGAGAATATATTATGCACATTACATGGTTTGAACACTGTCTTAATAGCAAAGATGGCATTTATAGCTATTGTATATTTTGAAGGTTAAGGTTTCTTTGAAGTTTTATGATTGATATGATGCATGATATAGAAAGTAGCTGCATTTCAATTTTTCAGCTTTGATTACTTAAAGCCAGCAGTACAAACGTTATGAAAGGAGCTGATAAATTAAAGCTGAGTGAAATGTGCGGCTTTCTAGCTGCTCTCCAAATTATATTTATATTCCTTATTGAATATATCTTTTGATCTTTTGACCTTCCTGATCTGTCCAAGGGTTCATTACATCATATAAAAAAGCAGACAACATAACAGCAAATTATATATGCAGTAAAACAGAAAAAGGAGAAAAACAAGAGATACTTGTACTTTGAATATGTAGAATATGTATCTTTTTTCTCAGGTAGGGATGGGCAACCTATAGACCTCCTAATACTGTTCAACTATAACTCCCACCATTCTTCCGTTCTGTCCATGCTGACTGGGACTGTTGGGAGTTGTAGTCCAGAAACATTTTGAGAGTGAGAGATTCCCTATGTCTGATATTTTACGAAATCCCCCATTGCACTTCTTGGATCACATAGTGCTGACCCTCCAAATTATGAACTGTATGGAAGTTCGTTGCTTGCCTATTATTGAAAACTAAGTTAGTCCTCTTTCAAACACCCATTTTTTCTTGTGAGTTTTCTAAGAGTTAGCTACTGGGGTATCAATTTCATTATTTCTGAGCCAGTGTATTTACTCATGCTTGGATGCAGTAATCGAGACCATTTTTCTATTTTTGCTGCATACATATTCAAGGAGACTGGCACTACAATGTTATTGTAGCAATTAAGTATCTCCTTAATTTTCACATTTACCTTGCCAATCTAAATCAGGGGCAGGTGACTTCATGCTTTCCAAGGACTGGACTATCAGCAAAGATTTGGTGCCCCACAATCCAAGAGCCCCACATATAGTTGCCAAAGTCATGCATTTCCCTCTCCCAGAGGAAATTAGGTGCACCAAACGTATGTTTTGCGGGCAGAATGTTGTAATCTCTGTCTTCATTCCAAGTGGGGTAGGGAAAGCCTCTGTCTGAGATCCTGGAGAGCCATTCCTAGTATAGACAATGCTGGGCTAGCTTGAGCAAATGTTGATTCAATCAGTTTGAGGCAGCTCTCTTTGTTCCTAAACTTCCAACTGGATCAAATGAAGAATCTACCTGGCCTAACAAAAGCTCATCAGGTACATCCAGGAAGGCAAAATTCAACAGCCAGCTTCTTATCATCGCTAATATCCACAGACAGACAAAGCCTATATTTTCAGCTGATCTCCATGGTGCCATTGGCATTTACAATCACACTATTTCCTCAGCATATATATAAAGCACAGTCATTCTGGTTCTCTCATACACACTGCCTGTGTAGGCAATACAGGCTGGGGGATGTTGTGGAGATGAGTGAGGCTATGCTGATTGGAATACATTCAGTGCTTGGAGGCTTACAAGGAAATGATACATACCTCATATAATGTCATCATAGGGTTTGTTTGGTTTGACCTTAGCATAGTATCTTGACTTGGTATTTGAGTTCTATGAGAGAAAACAGTTGAAATGCTGTAAAACTAGCCACATGCTCAGTTTGGTTGCTGATGTCCCCTACAATAGTCTTCCCTACCTTATTTTATTAGCAGTTGAGAATATGATCTACAAATGTGGCTGTTGAGGATTTCAAGAAAAAAGTTATACTAAGTAGATGTATTTTAATTATTTTTCCCTGCAGATACCAATGTTGTACGGTACATCCAGCTGACAGAGATGAAGCTTAGCAGATGTTCCCAGAGGGAAAAAGAAACATTGTAAGAAGAAACCCAGTTCTGTGGGCCTGAATGGACATGTCCTCCCATAAATGATCACCGGGTGAATTGTCCTTCCCATTGGCTTCACATTAGTTTGACAGGTTTTCTCTCCTCCCCAGCTGTTACTTTTGATCTAAGGAGAGACCCTGGATCTAGCTTTGGCTATTTGCTGGCATAGTGATAACATTCTAGTCCTTCTAGCACAATTGCTCTGGGAATTTGGATGAAGAGAGCAATAGAGAAGGATTCACTTTGCCTCGTACTTATATTCTGCTCCTTTGGTCACATCAGCCTTCCAGAGATCCTTCCTCCTTTTCTCTTCAGATGTGAAGACAACAGCTAATGAAGAAAGAAATACTAATGAGACTCCCTTGTAGTACATTTTACCTAAACCCAAACCAGAATGTTCAACAAAGTTTAGAGTTTGGGCATGGGATAGAATCTAAATGAGAATGTGAAAAGATGCTGTACTATTTGGGGATGAAAACTGGAACAATTACTTAATATCAAATATATGTTGTTTCACAGGCAACAATCACAATATTATTTCTTAGAAGGCATGGCTGGGCCCTAATACATAAAGGGGAAGCATGATTTTATAATTAGTTTCAGATTATAGAAATTGAAGCACTGAATTATGGGCTTGCCACCATCTTGATATACACCTTAACTTTTCTGTGCCTCCGTTTTTCCATCTGTATAGTGGGGACAAAAATGTCTCCCTACCTCACAGGGGGTGTTGTGAGGATTTGTTAACTAATATTTGTACAGTGCTAAATAATATTACCGGTACACTGGACTAAGCTTGCAATCCTTACATCCTGTCTTGGTACTTTCCTGCTTCTTTTCATTCATCACCATTAACCCAAGGTTGGACAGAGATCAGGCTATAATCCCCAAAGTCAAGACATTCATTGGTTCATCCAATAGAGACAGAGCAGGTAGCAATGTCCAAACATCCCTCAAAAGCCAGGAGGATTTTAGGGCATGATCTATTCAAATGCCAGAAACCCATTTTTAGATGACAAAACTTCTAAACTGCCTCTTCAGCCCAGAATATCTTGTTTCACAAATCTGTTACTGAATTACATGTCCATTTAATCCCACACAATAAAATTTAGATGAGAGATGAGGAGTGCTATATTATTCTCCAGTGGGTGATTATCCTTCAGTTGTATTGCAATTGCATGACTTGGGCATTCAGATCACATTAAGACATTTATTTTCATTTCAAAGAGTTTCCAAGTGAGTCAATGAATGAATGCAACTGGAAAAAAAAATCCAAAATAATTTTCTCCCATTAGTGATGGGAGAAAATCCAAACCCTCCATTTTGTAGGTCATGCCTTTCTAAACTCTTCTTTGGGTGACTTCTTTTTTGGAGGCTGGTAGGATGGCTCTTGTTCCACATTAGGAGGGTGATCTCAGGCAGGTCTCGGTCACCCTCCTGCTCCTGGAAGTTCATTTGTGGTAAGTGAAGGATTTTATTTTTATTAGAATGAAATCCCACAGAATTTATATGAATTTCCAGACTCAGTGAGTCATTAGGCACTTGGCTGCATTTCTTTATGGGTTTACAGGATTTCTGGAAAAGCAAATCCAGGGATTTTTTAGGGAAAGTCTAATCCAAAGCTATGGAAAATAAATAATTTTATCTACACATTACAGGTGTAGGCTTATAACTATCAAGTCTCTCCTGATCTAGAATTAGCCCATGATTTTCTCATATATGTTGTGTTTCTGACTAATATGATTTTGGAAAATGTACCTTTAAAAAAAACAACAAAAAACCATAATGCTTTCCAGTGATTTCCTCAAATATTGTACATATCAGTCTTCAAGTAAAATCCTGGACTGGGACTTCAGATCCCCTAATCCCTAGCTAGCTGCTAAGGATGATGTGAATAGTCCAGCACATCTAGAAGGCACCAAAACGCAGCAACTAACATGCTAAAATGATCTAGCCAAAGTTTTAATACGTTATCGAATCATCTGAATCAGAGCCATTAATGGCCTTATTTACCCTGCCACTGCAGCCCTTGCCCCTAACTCAAAGGCCTGGAAAAAGAGCTACAGCTTTGTGAATTGTGTGGTAAAAAATCCCAAAGCTGTTGGACATCCTCTACCGCACTGGCATTCTGGCATTTCAAACAGCCAAAGACTATTTGAAAACTGCAGCGTGAGCCAGGCTGAAGAGATTTGGAGACAGAAACACAGACAGATGAAAAGTTGCCAATGCTATGAAATTTTAAACATGAGAAATGGCCTGGAAATTTGCAGTTTGCATACATAAAAGGCTCTGCTTCTCCTTCTCTGAAGCAACAAGTAGAATTCAGAACTTGTTCATATTGTCAAATGGAATTACATACTGGAAAAGTTGCTAAATGGCTGCTTGAACATTTTCCTTCCTTCACTTGCTCAGAAGAATATCCAGGTGAAAAAAAACCCCTCATGATTTCAAAAGAACAGAAGAGAACTGGAGGAAGCTTTGTTGCTTGAAATGCAGACAATTAGTATGTGACATGGTGGTTTTTCTATTAATATTTACTGTAGGTGGAAATGAAATAACACCTGGAGATATAATAATATCACTCACTTCAAGTTTGCTATTGGACACAAATACATTTCTGTAAGAAACCTCCACTAGATGGGCATATGGGGGGGGGGCTGCCTAGTTGCACACACCACTTTCTTTCCCACACAACTTTTAAAGTACCCACAAAAAGATTGCTTCAGTGAGAAAGCTGAAAATTTAATTTGACAAGTAAAGCAGAGAAATATATTGTTGATTGCATAAGGGCTATACAAACAAGTTTGGCTCATAACCAACTGAACGACGTGCCCCAAACAATAATGAATACTATCCAGGCCATGTACAGGGAGTCCCCGGGTTAAGAACGCCCGGTTTATGGGTGACCCATAGTTAAGAACGGAGCCTGTTATAGCAAAATTTGAGTTAAATACACAATGATTCAAGTTAAATACACAATGGTTTGAGTT